CGGAACACTTCCGGTGTCCGAATACTAACATACTATATATCAATCTTTACCTGTCGACCATTTTGAGACTCCTTGTCATGTCCGCTACCTCATCCGGGACTCCGAACAACATTAGCTCACCAAATCACATAACTCATATATACAAAATCGGCATCGAACGTTAAGCGTGCGGACCCTACGGGTTCGAGAACTATGTAGACATGAGCAAGACACCTCTACGGTCAATAACTAATAGCAAAACCTGGATGCTCATATTTGCCCCCACATATTCTACGAAGATCTTTATCGGTCGAACCGTTATGACAACATACGTTATTCCCTTTGTCATCGGTATGTTACTTGCCCGAGATTCGATCGTGGGTATCTTCATACCTAGTTCAATCTCGTTACTGGCAAGTCTCTTTACTCGTTCCATAATACATCATCCCACAACTAACTGATTGGTCACTTTGCTTGCAAGGCTTCTTATGATGTGTATTACCGAGAGGGCCCAGAGATACCTATCTGATACTCGGAGTGACAAATCCTAATCTTGATCTATGCCAACCCAACAAACACCTTCGGAGATACCTGTAGAGCATCTTTACAATCATCCAGTTATGTTGTGACGTTTGATAGCACATAAGGCATTCCTGCGGTATCCGGGAGTTGCATAATCTCATAGTCGGAGGAATATGTATTTAAACATGAAGAAAGCAATAGCAATAAAACTAAACGATCATAATGCTAAGCTAACGAATGTGTCTTGTCCATCACATCATTCTCCTAATGATGTGACCCCGTTTATCAAATGACAACACATGTCCATTGTTAGGAAACTTAACCATCTTTGATCAACGAGCTAGTCTAGTAGAGGCTCACTAGGGACACGCTGTTTTGTCTATGTATCCGCACATGTATCAAGTTTCCGATTAATACGATTCTAGCATGAATAATAAACATTTATCATGAAATAAGGAAATATAAAATAACAACTTTATTATTGCCTCTAGGGTATATTTCCTTCAGTCTTCTTGGTGGCACCACCCTCATCTCACTTGCCTCCTCCCATCCCGAGTGTGTTCATGACAACATCCTTGGCATCCGTAGCAGCACCCACCATATTCCCGCCAGCCTGGAAACAAACAAAGACACATTCATTTCAAAAAATTCAGCATGAATAGATTAAATGGCCACAAAAAGAATTCGTTGACATGGTTAATTTTTTGTTGTCTTTGAATAGTTTGCAAAGTGATCGATTCACCTGTTGGAAGACATTTTCCTTGGGGGCGACCGGGGCCTTCGCCATGGCCTCGCCACTCATCTTTTTGGCTGCCTCCGTAGTCTCGGAGGCAGCCTTCGTGACAACTTCACTCTTCTCGCCAAGGAAGCTGCCGGTCTGGTCTTTTGCCTCGACGGCGCGGTCCTGGATGGACTGCCCCGTCTTGGATGCCATCTTCGTGGCCTCGCCAGACTTCTCTTGAACCCAGCCAGACATTTTTGAAGTCGATGGAGTGTTGGTATGTACTAATTTGTGTTCTTCTCTTCTTGTGCTTGTGGTGGAGAGACGTGTGTTCTTCCTTTATATAGGCCATTTGACCCATTGCCGAGGTTGATACTGAAGAGAATACATCGCTTTCCAAGTATGTTGGCATTATATGAGATATTTTTGTAGCAAGGGTATCTCATTGTGGCCACTTGTCCACTCAGCTGTATATACGCACAACGGTATGTCGGCACAACACATTTGTGTAAGATCTGCCCATTAATATGTGCATTCAAGACATGAGACCCGCTTCGGTAGACCCCCTCACAAAGCGTATAAAAGGCAATATAGACTTTCGAACCCGCAACCTGGCCATGCCTGCAACTAATGCTAACCAGACGACATAGTGACTGACGAGGGATTAAAGGCAGCGCTAACTTTAAAGTACTAATTAGAGCTGCAAATCCGGGTTTCTTTCAATACTTTTACAAAACAATGTGAACAAAATTTCTTGAGAATGCCAACAATGTTTCAAAAGCAGAAAAAAAATCTATTATTATTTTCCTAAATGCGAACAATTTTTTTAAAAGTGAATTCAAAATACACACCAATCATTTTCTTAGTATATGGTGAATTTTTTCAAATACAAAACTGAACTTTCTTGAAACTATATGCTGATTTTTGGAAATGCACGCTGAATAAAATTTGTACACAGCATGAACACTTCTTATACACAGTGAACATTTTCCCAATGTACGGTAAACTATTTCTAACATGAATATTTTTTGGAAAATGAAAAAATTGGGATTTTGAATTTTTATTGGAATTTGGAATTCTGATATTTTTTTTGAAACATGAATACATTTGAAAAACATGAACAATTTTTGAATATGTGAAGAAAATTTGGAATTTCAATCATTTTTTGAAAGTTTTAATTTATGGAAAACAAAAAGGAAACAAAAATAAAAACAAAATAAGGTAAAAAGAAAAGAAAAGAAAAGAAAAGGAAGAAATAAGCAGAAAGAAAAAAATGAAAAATAAAAACATGAAGAAAGAAGGAAAAATCTCATGGAACCTTTTAAAAGGTTCCCAAAACCGGTTGCTCGTTCAAAGTGAGCCGACTCGTATCGTGCCGGTCGCTCGATTCGCTTCAATGGGCCGCGACGGTTTGACACCCACGGGCGGCAAATAGGGTTCGTCGTTCGGGAAGTACAGTCATATAGATGGTGCCACGCATAGGACGTTGCCCGACTGGACCCGCCCATTATCGCACGTGAAAACAGGGAAAATATATCAAAAATGAAATAGTAGTGCGAGGGATCGAACCCTGTAACTCTCACTACCAACCGCTCGTCACTAGGTACACGAGCTGATAAGCTTCATTGTCTAACTACAAAAACGCAACCTACTAGAACTATCCTTTACTGACTATCTTACTGTAGCAAAATACACTTTTTGCACCATTTATTTCTCTTTTCTGATAATAGTTTTTTGTTACTTTTCCATTTTCCATTTTCCTTTTTGTTTCTTTTTTATTTTTCAAAAAATGCTCATCTTTTAAAAACTTGTCCAAAATTTTTAAAAAATTTGGTTTTCAAATTTTGTTCATAAATTAAAATATTTGCATTCTAAAAACTTGTACAAACATTGAAATGACCGCAATTGTGAAAAAAATGTACAAACATTAATAAAATACAAGGCTTCATCTCATAGCGTGTTATTTTTCGACATCCTTGAAATGACCCCAATTTTTTCATGTGGCTTGTATGTCCAAGTTAAGGCACCATGCCAAGTTGTTTTGGTTTTCGACAAATTTTGTATTTTCTTGAGTTTTCCCAGTAAAAAAAATGGTCGATAAATGGCCGGACGTGTCGCAACTTGCACATGGTGTATGAAAATCATTCAAACCTGGCGTGGATGACTACCATGGGCGCGCCTACCTGCATGCTTATCAAAGTTAGGGCCAATCCTGAGATTTCCAAAAATTATCATGTTCAACGGAGATTGTTCGGGTAGGCCAAAAAAGTTTTAATTTTAATTTTGCTAAACGAATTTTAAAAAGAATATTATAAACCAAAATTTCGATTTCTACCGAATGCCACCTTGTATTCCAAAAAAATTTAAGAATACATTTTTAAATTTTTGAACAAATTTCAAAATTTCGATTTCTACCGAATGCCACCTTGTATTACCATGTTGACATGGGCCCGGGCCTGGTTGGCACCCCCTGTCTCCACCGCTGTCCGCCTTTGCATACGAGAAGTCGAGAATGCACACGGTATATGAGTTTAATAAAGTGCGCCAAGTAGTTTTCAAAAAAAAAAGTTGAGTTTAGCTTACCGAAGCAAAACTCTTAAATTTAGACCATGCATAGAAAATGCCTTGGTCAAGCCCATATATTGGATCGGACGAATTCACACCGTACCACACACGTGTCTAAGTCAGCCGATGTTGCCCTGTGCGGGTTATTGTGACGGTTTAACCAGGTTTTTCGCTAATTAACCGGACAACTCTTTTCTTTATTAATGAGATGAGACAAAACTTTTGCCTCCGTTTTTTTTAATAAAAAGTTCACAAATCTCCCCTCCAGCATTGCCAAAAAACGTGAATCTGCACATGTGCAAGCTCTCCATATATCGGACCCACAAAGACCAAGCATGGTGCAGATACATGCATAAGAATATAACAGTAGTGGAGAATAAAACTCCTGCTAAAAGCGGCATCATTTTTGTATGGCTATAACATTTAGCAAAGGCCCACCACCTCAACCAAAAATTGAGCCCTTTAGCTTGGCATCCGAGCCATGCAGCTAGCTAGTGGTCGACATGGATCGCCGACGTCTCCCGGCACCTCTCGTCCCGTGAATTCTGGGCGTAGCACTGGACAACATGTGGGTGACATTTGCATGGTCGACATGGAGGGCCGACGTGGGAGGCATCCTCTCGTCTCCCGGCACCACTCGTTCACGTTGGCCGTTATCGGTCCGGACACATGGTGAGATAGGAACGGGCCACTTGGACGTGGCGTCGCGTACGCGTCGCCGACGTGACTGCAGGCAGCTCGTTCTGGCCAAGGTGGTCCAACTCCAAACGGCCCATGCCCGTGTGGTTCGTCAGGACAGTACAGGGCAAGGGATTTAGGATAATACCAAGCTTATAGTCTACATGAGCTCCCGACTAACTGGGAGCACGATTCAACCAACATAAAAATCATAACGAACTTACATGCAAACATCGTGCACCCTTCTTCATAAGAAAAATCGTACACCCTCCTGTCCCCGGAATTACATGTGCCGCTCTCACCAAAATCACCAAATAAGTAAAGAACTGAGAATTCAAAGCCTAGTACTCGTGCTCCAAAAACCATACACCGGTTATGGATAAAAATTATTGATTTACCTCATATAAATCTGCAGGTATTTTTCCTTAGCGTATCTATATAAGAGAAAACAAAGTTTTAAAAGTGGAAGATAAAAAAGGGAAGGTGAATTATGGTTCACCATTCCAATGAATAACTCTCTGTCAGGAAAAGACTCAAATCAGTCTTCTAATATATAACATTTGAGTTTAACGTCGGAAAGTTAAAATCATCTAAAGCCTTCATAAAGTGCACACCAGGCAGACGAGCCTTCACCTGGTTTTGACATGCCACTGTTCCTCAGCTATGATGTTTGGCATCTTCCAATTCACGGTTTAATGAAAAGAAAACACTTGAATAGGTAATGTGAAGAACAGTAGGTTGTGACAGTCATACATAAAAAGAGAACCAAAGAGGAAAGGCAGATTATACAATGCAAGTAATTGACATTTTCTTTGTTGAGGGGAAGCAGTGGACAATCAATTAGCTTCTAGAGCACAGACCCATTAACCACGTAATATTACAACCAACCACTAAAGCAAACATTTTGATACATGCACAAGGGCCCCAATTTCATTCATAATGTATCATTTTGTCTCAAGAGATGTGGTAGCTGAACTGGAATGCAATCAACATGCTCGAGTGAAACAAACCAAAAGAAGACTACAAAGAGGCGACCACTTTGCTCTATTTTCTGTAAGACATCCCATTATATAAAGCTAAAGACATCATCATAAATATGCCACTGACAACATCCTAGGATCCTTCGTGTTGCGCAATCAAGTACTTTGGTACTCTTGATGTATCCTAGTATCATGTATAGCAAAATGAAGACTATGATGACCTAGATTCGGTTCTTTCATTTAATCATTTATCAGATCAAGATCATCAGCAAGACTAAAATAACTATTAGCATGCATAATGCACAACCTTAGCTGAAAATAAGTGCATATGGAGACTAATAGTAGGAGGACCTCACTCTAATAGGTAGTACTCCCTCCAATCCAAAATAAATGTCGCATGTTTGAACTAAGTTTAGCTGAAACTTAGTTCAAAGTTGCGACACTTATTATGGTTCGGAGGGAGTAGCGTTTTATGAGAGAAGACTGGCACTCTGGAACGAAACCTGTACGCACAAAATGATTTCATATCCAAACTAATAAAATCTGCATCTTCTAATCACAATCTAGCCTATCAAAGATTTGGAATTTCATCGAGCATGGCATTAAAAAATAATCCTAACTGGGAAGTTGCCATGGCTCTGTAAAATCGAGCATTTCACTCTGACCTAGTAATGTTAAATCTGACGAAATACCTTTGCTACTGGAGTTCATGTTATCCAAAGATGCTTCACCCTTGAGCAGTCTAGCAAAAGGATGCAGCAAGATCTCTTGCCATAGTTATATCCTTATAAAAAAATTCTGGGTGAGAACCTAATGTGGTATCTAGAAGAACTAAAAAAAAATCTGAACTTCAATGCAGAATTAACTCTATTGTAGTGAAAGTAGAATCTCGATGACCAAATCTGTTTATCAAACATAGAGGAAGAAGCCTAGCAGGGTCTTAAATGAAACTTATAACTTACAAACAAATTAGTAGTATTCTTAATGTAAGTGTACATTTGAACCATTTTTTACACTTTCTCGGCTCAAGTG